CTCCCCCTCGCCTCGCCTCGCCCAGCAGCGGCCGCGGCGCGCGTCTGGGGGAGGCGCGAGGAAGCTGCCCCCGCCGCCGGCGCGATCGGCGAGCGGCGTCCGGACCCGCGTTCCGAGCGGAGCCCGGCGCGCGCCCACATTCCTTTCGGGTGAAAGGGCTCGGGCGGGGACGGAGCCGCCGACCCGCCCGCTCGCCCGCCAGCCCGCCTGCGGGAAAGGGCCACTGGAGCTGTCAGTGCCTGCGCGACCCTGAGGTATTGCCTGGGTGCCCGTGAAGCGCCAGCCAGCTCTGCCTCGATTTACCCAAGTGCAGAAGAGAGACAGAGAGAGCGAGAGAGAAAAGCGTTTTGTGGGATGGGGCGAACCAGCGAATTGTAGCCTGAGCTGGTCTGCAGCAGGGGCAGAGACATCTTCCCTTCTTTGGAAAACTAACAACAAAACTACGAATGCCGACTTTCTTAGCTTTTGGTGGCTCGCCTCTCCCTGATTCTGCTGCTTTTTGGATGTTTTTTTTTTTCCAATTTTTGGTTGGCTCCTCTCTCCACACACTGTGGGACCCCAAGGATGGGGTGTTGGGACTCTCAGATCGCTGATGCTCCCAGCGTGAGCTCACCCCCAACACCCCCCACCCACCACCCCTCTGCAGGGGCCAGCACTGGCCTCCGGAACAGAATCTGACATCAGCCCCCAGGTCCACTCCACCCTGCGCATCCAACTCGATGCTCTGCAATTGTCTCACACCTAACCTATCCCAAACTAAAGTGATGTTTTCCCCTCCTCTATTAAGCCTGCTTCATCCCCAGTATCCCCAGCTGCGATTTGAGGCATCTCTGCCCTCTTCACTGCCCAAGCTGCACCTCTTCATGATGTCCTCATCTCTTCTCAGCCTCATCTTCTGCCCAACAAACATATCTCTGGTTTTTTTTAATCCTCCTTGTTAGCGGTTTAGTAGGAGCCCTTATCTTATGTCTTGTTTTCTTACGCTTTGTAACAATGTATCTGTCAATTCCACCTCCATTCTCCACTTCAGGGGCGCCACTGCTTCCAGGACCTAAAAGCTGCTCATGACACATTGATATTTAGACACCTCTGGGGCTTCTGACAGCTTAAAGGATACAATTTATTTTCCATAATTTGGCCTAGTGAATTTTCATAATCGGCTCCTGCATTGGTTTGCTAGGGCCGTCATAGCAAAGGCACACACTGGGTGGCTTAAACAACAGACTTATTTTCTCACAGGTCTCGCAGCTGGAAGTCTGACATCAAGGTGTTGGCAGGATTGTTTTCCTCTGAGGCCCCTCTCTTTGGCTTGTAGATTGTGATTTTCCTCCATTGTCTTCACATGGTCTTTCCTCTGTCAGTGTCCGAATCTTCTCTCCATATAAGGATCCCAGTCATATTGGATTAGGACCTATCCTAATGACTTCATTTTAACTTCATTTCCTTTTGAAAGCCCTATTTCCAAATGCAGTCTCATTCTGAAATACTAGGGGTTAGGCCTTCAATATGAATTCTTGATGGGAACGCAATGTAGCCCATGACAACTTCTCATCTACTGGTCTAGCATGGTTTCCCTTCCTGTACATCCGAGTGCAAGCATCCTTTGTTGGTGTCCTGTGCGCTCATAACATGCTGCTTGTATGTGGGTAATCATGGCTACCTAGCACTGGATCCTGCAGTTTATCGAAATATTTTAAGTGTTCATCTTTCACTTCACTGTGAGCTTCCCAAAGGCAGGGCAGGTGGGTCTGGAGCACAGGCATGTGAAAGAATTCTGAAAAGAATTCAGGTTGATTGAAAATGTGTCCACACATACATAATTCAGAATTGGGGTCCTGACCCCTAATTGTAAGCACAAACCATTGCAAGAAATTTGATTTTTAAAATCCACAGCAATTTGTGTCATATAATTTGGATAGTATTTGGTCTATTTTGTTCTAAACTTTACATTCCAGGAGTTTCGCTACTAATTCCAACTTTAGTCTTCATAAACCCACCACCTAGTCATTCTTTCTGGCTTACTTATGTTCTGTTTCGTGCTTTTACCTCGACATATTTTCCTCCTTCAGAGCTCCTAGCTTTTCCTCAAGCAGGCCTTGAGGCTGTACATTTCTCTCTGTCCCCACAGAATTCCTTCCTTTAATACCCATCTTAAAACCCTAGTTCTCATGTGAAGTTTTCCCTTATAACATAAGTGAGATGTGCAAACTCATATTTTTCTTCATTTGGTTGCTGCAACTCTATTGCCATATTAGAGATTTCAGTAATCTATAGGGCTTGAGATACCACGTCGGGTAGATAATGCCAGGATGCTATTTGGTTTTATTTCATCTGTGTGGTAGGTCCTTCTGGGGACGTGCCTGATAAACCTCACCTCTCAGTCTCAGTGCCATGATGGAGAGTCAGAGAAGCCATTCTAGAAGGCAAGTTTAAAAACAACCCAGTCTAATTTCATGCTTAGTGTTCCCCACACCTCCTGTGTCTGTATTATTAGACCTGCCTGTTTGTTTCCTGTTTTGCTTTTATTTTCCAGGGTAAACCAATGAAGTAGATACAAACTGAAGAACCTGCTAGTCCCGCAGATTCCACCTTCAAATGAAGTCTCTGGCATGTGTGGTGTTGCTTAGTAACCCACCCAAACAAACATGTTTCGCTCTCAGTTTTTCCCCCAGTCCTTATTTATTCAAGGACATTGTAAAACAAATTATTACCACTTGACATCTGAAATCATTAGAAGAAAATCTGGTGTTTGGGGCTTTATAAGAACTGCTAACCATACTAAAACTTTTACTTTATTTCTCACTCTACTGCTCTAATAACGTAAGGCCAGGATTTGTGGTATTTTTCTTCATGTCTGGAGCTTGGTTTGGATATGTCCCTGCCTCTGTGAGGGTTACCTTGGCACCATTTGGCTGGCACTGTGATTTGGATGACCTAACCTCTCTATCTCAGTTTCCTTCTCTGAACAACGAGGTTAAATACTGACCTTACAAACCCCCACAGAATTTTTTGTTGAAGACACAACTAGGAAGTATTACTAAATTCATCAAACACTTATAGATTGTCCTCTTGACGCCAGACACTATGTTGGATTCTGTGGAGGCAAGTATAAGACATGATTACTACCTTCAAGAGGATCAAGTCTTATAAGTCAAGAGGCTTGGAAACATCCTTACATCACTCCCAAGCCCTCTCCTGTACCTCATAAAGATTTATGAATCCTTCTAGACTGAGGCATTGTCTTCTGGGACTTCCTTAGCCATGATACTGGCCCCCATCTTCAATTTCCCTGTCCCGCTAACGTGTAAAGTTTTATCACCACATCTACCATCTCCTATTGAAAATATCTGTGAACATAGTTGTCTTCCTGAATAGAATGTAAACTCCTAGAGAGCAGAGACTCCGGCTTATTTGGTTTGTTGTTTAGCAGCTCAATAGTAATTCCCCTTTCTAATGCTAACAGTATTCACATTTTCTTGGGGAATTACTGTCCCCCCTTCTGAGTCAACATGTGCCTAAAATGTGGCTGAGCATGGAACTCAGGGTTGGCCAACCAGAGCGTGATGTCCAGTTGCCACCTGTGAATGGTATTTAAGAACAGGCATGAAATCTGGTTGTGTTCAGCGGAAATCAGGACAGAATTTTTTTTCTGAGTTGTTGGAAAAGGAAAGCTTTTGTTCCCACTAGATTTGGAGTTGTAAGGATGTAAGTCTAGACAAGCTGGCAGCCAAAACATTGATGCTCGGGAAAAATGGATCCAACAATACATATACAAAATATACATATAATGTGAAGACTGGAAGAATACTGAAATTGAACTAGTAATAATGTTTGGGTGGCAAAGGAATTTAAGAACATTGTGAAATACATTTTTATCCTTTGTCATATCTTAGTTTTGTCAGATGCAGATATATGATATTTATCATCTATATCTTTATCCAAGTTCAAAAGAATTTTGAATTATGTACAGCCAAGAACAGAGCTCTTTGGAATACTGTGTGACGTTTTTTCTCTTTACCAACTCAAATATATTCACTCATACTATTTGGGTGTAGTTGTTCAAAAACTTTGAACAAACTTAGTACTTTCACTAGCCCAGATTTTCCAAAAGGATATCAAATTTTTTTTCAAAAGACTTTAGATGCCAACACGAGTGAAGCTTACAACATCCCCGGATCTACCAGACTTTACTGGATACTTGTTTAATATCCATCTAGCACAATTTTAGATATGATTAGGGTACAAAAAGAAGTTGCCCTTGCCTGTAAGAAGCTTGTAATTAGCTTGCAAAGACAAGCTATACACAGATAAAGCAATTGCCTAATAAGCACTGTGTGGCACTCATCTGGGAAGGGTTTGTTGTTGTTGAAGAGTTGGAGTCTAACTCCTAGGCATTCTGATTCATTGTGTCTTAGGTGGGTCCTAGGAGACAGGAAAGACCATGATGTCACTTGAATCCCTGAGCCAGCACTAATTGAAGTTATATTTACCCCTGGACTTCATTAGCCAAAGAATTTCCTTTTTGATTAATTTATTTTAGGTTAGGCTTTCTGTCCCTTGCAGTTGAAATAGATTTGAGTAATGTGGATCATACAGACTGTTAAGAGTTGTGTTAGTAATATGCATACAATGCTACATGATTTGGCCACTTGGTCTGAGCTAAGTAGGATAAATAGGGTCTATAGGGTGGCTGGCTTGACCTCCCACTCTGAAAGGGTTAGGAGATTAGAGACTTTGGGGGATGCTGAACCCTACTTTTCTTTTTTAGTATCATTAAATTACAACTTTGAAATTTTTGCTGTAAATAATGTTCCAAACGGCATTTTAAAAATGTCTTTTTATTCTCTCAAGTATTTTTCAGTAGCAGAAGTTTATAATTTTGATACAGCCCAATTTATACATTTTTTTTCTTTTGTGGATTGTGCTTTTGATATCATAT